AAAAAAAAAAAAAAAAAAAAAAAAAAAAAAAAAGAATGAATCTGAAAATAAAGTTAGACGACTGCCTAACTGCATGAAATGTTTGTTAGACCCGAAATTTGTTGTAAACTAAACAGTAAAAAAACTATTAAGCAACCTAGAAAAGTTCTTCTTTTATAAGCTAGTGTCAGTAAATTTAGGATATTTTTCGCATCTGATTTTGCAGTAGAACAAACAAAAAGAAGTTGCACATTAAAAATATGATAATTTTTAGTAATAACTATCTATTATCGCATTGAATAATCAGTTTTAAATCTATTACAGTTTGAAGAGTACAGTCAAATAGCTGTTCGAACTTACAACCGTTATCAATACATTATTCCACTTAGCTGTTTGTCTGATGTAATTTCCTATTTGATGTGTTTAAGTTGTCTAGTTGCTTTTACGATATAGCCAATATCACATAGTGATAATGTAATAGCAATACCAATAATAATGATAATAAGGAACTAATATGCGACAAAAAGCCTGCATTAATGAAAGACTTAGAGGCAACGTAAAAACTGTTCTGCTCCTCAAATCATTGTTAGGGTTGAGCTGTACAGTAACCAATAACTTAGCAAAAATTTACTGTGCTTAATAAATTAACTAGAGGAAAATTTGAATAGCAGACCCGCATATTAGAGTAAGATAAGAAGGTAGTAAAAGAGGAAAATAGTTAATTGCCACTGTCTGCTATGTCATACGTCCGGCTACTTTTGTCCGAAATTTCTTCGTACGGTCGTACAACTTTTGGTTTTACCAGGACACCATAATCACTTAATACTCCTTTGCTTACGTACGGTAAAGCACCTGAAAATTTTGTTTTTTATATCATAGTTATATTGCTTACTGTTATACTACGTGCCTGTACAGTCATTTAGTTCGGTTTAAAAACGTTTTTCTGCGTTTTGACATCAATGACAGCCTTACGCGTAACATATGTCACATATAAAACAACAATGATAGAACCAACGATAACTCCTCCTGACACGATAACAAGAACAGTAGAAAACCAGTCTATAACAACTGCAAAAACAATAGATAAATTATGCTAATTGCTTTGATTAAAATAAAAAAATTTTACTTCTTATTACAAACAAACTTCTTGTTTTAAATACAACTAAAGATGAAAACGCATAAAGGTTTGTGTAAGCCAGGGTTTGGCACACTTTCTAGGACATTTTGGTGAATTAAAATTTAATTGTCAACAAAAATAGCTAAAATTTATTTTTATTCAATTTCACATAATCATTGCATTTACAGTGTTAACAGAAGAATAAATGATGACTCTTAAAAGTGCAGTAAGATTGTTTGACTAGAGTAAAGTTAAAAAAGTTGGCGTTACTTTAATGCATAAGTAGTACCTGTACCACTCTGTTTTTTTTTTCTCAGGTGAGGAAGCACTTTCCTTGAGCTCTTATAACTCTCCACTTCAGAAAAGACAGCTTCAGGTTGTTTCAGGTCAGCATCTCTCTGTAGTTAGTTAAATAAAATGATATGCCTGGCAGTTAACAAGACTTTCAAATTTGTTTTTGGTCTCTGTTAAACTTACAACAATAACTTGTCCAAATTGCTGATAACATATTTAAAACTTAACATATTTAGGTTTATAAGTTATAGAAAAATGTAAAAGAGTTAATTAGCAGATAAATAGTCTTAATAATTTTTAATCGACAATTTTTTTGAAATAAAATGAATTAAATCTTACTTTAACCAAATATTGCGGCGGAATAAACTTGCAAAAAAAGTTTCTAAATAACACCGCAGAGCATAAACCATTATATACTAAAACATAAAACTTCAAATATTACACTTTTCTCTGATTTGAACCTTTTGTTAAAAATTAATAAAGTAAAACAAGCTGATGTATATTTGCAGTAAAAAAACTGTTTAGTAAAGCAGTATTATTCAATTTGTCAAAAAGCTTTAAAGCAAATTTTGAATTGAAAAAATTCTTAAGCATCTACCATTCTGCAAGTACGTTCAAAAAAAAAGAAAAATTTGTTTGTTTACTGTTTTATAATTCAAGTTTTACTTGTTTGAACTACAAATTTTTGCTGCTTTTCTCGGGTTTTTACGCTTCACGGTTGTAGCGGCAAAGAAATATAGTATAAGAAAAAAGTGATGTTTTCATTACTATTATGTTTTCAGTCAATGTTTTCAATCTTTAATCTTCTCAGCACAGTCTAATCAAAAAAGAGTGCAGATTAGATGATACGTTATGAATTCTGACAAGAAAATTTTTTGTAAGCAAACTTTAAAGTGGCTTACAGAAATTTGTCCTGAATTGACAAGAAATTTTTTAGCACGATCTGTGCTTTTGAAAGAGTTATAATTAATCGTCTGCAGAGGAAAGTTGAGATTAACAGACTTAATTTACTAATTCAGCAAGTAGTCAAAAACTCTCTTCTTTGTAAATTTCTAACTATTTGAAGTAGGAATTGTTCACGAATTCTTGATACTATTACTGCTTACAAAAAATGTTTTGTTTGATGTAACTTTGTTGAGCCATAAAATGCCCTAAATGCCCCAAAGCTTTCTGCCAAATTTTATGTAAGGCTGTCAGACAACATAATGTTTAAAAATCTTATACAGATGTTAACTGTATTACACGTTTCAGCTGGTGGTTTTTGTCTTCCCTGCCAATATGCCAGTGTAGAAAACATAAGAAAATAGCATGGCTTATCAGAATAATCATCAAAATTTCCGCTGTCATTGTACGGTTTATACCACTCTAAGACATAGGAAGCATCAGTACCGTCCGTAAATGCTACAGCCATATTTGGATCACCTTTTAAACCCAGTGGTATAAGTTGAAGAATATCATCTGTTATCGATCTAGTTTGACTTAATATACCTAAAGAAAGATCAACAAAATTATTCCTTAGCCATGTATTTGATAGTTCTTTTGAACTTTTTAGTTGAAAGATTCTAAATTTTAGTAAACATTGTTTTGTAGTTGAAAACTTTTTTTTTTGATAATTTATAACAAAATAATATTGCGCACTTAACAAAAAATCATGTTCTTTGAGATTTCTTATTGACAACAAATGGCCATTGTAATGTTTTTCGCAGAATGCTTCAGCGTCTTCAAAATTACTTACATCCGAATCCTAAAAAAAAAAAAAGAAACGAAAAACATTACGTTTGAGATCAAAATGGATCTGCTTTTGTTCTGTTTTTGGTATGTTTCACCAACATAATAAATTTGAAAAAAAAAAAGATAATTTTTTTTTGAAAACTTTTGATTTATGTATAATTTTTGCACAACTAAAGTGATGTAAAATTTGGCATTTAATAAAAAAAAGAGTTGAAACGAATGATTGTTGAATGAAAATAAGTTAGTGACATACACGAACAAGACCTAAGCAAATAAATTGTGTTCCATCGCTGTACAGGACGGCATTCCTATTTGTTGGGCATTGTCCACCATATCCTATAAAATTGCACTTACCGCTAATTGTTTTTTTTTTTTCAAGTTTTTAAGGGTATTTTTTGCCTTTCTGCTTTATCGTTAGTGTCGTAAGTAACTTGCAAAAATTTCTCAAATTTCCAATACCACTTGCTATATGTTTCCCGTACTAAACAATTGTACTTTTGCTTTAATATTATCGTTTCCTTATTATCACTGTTACAGTTTATGTGCAAATATGCAGCATATAACTTTTTAACAATAACAACGCATTTATATAGATACTATTTCTTTTGTCGTATATATCACATAAGTTATCGGCTTTTTTTCACAGCTTTTAAGATTTATTAATTTAAGTTACGGTAATCATTGTTGAAATACTTTGTTTGAATTTTCTCTCTGTTTATTACTAATACTATTTAAAAACTTTCAGTAATACAACAACAGTTCTTTTTTTTTTTTTTGTTTTTGTTTTTTTATCAATAAATTTTTGGCCACTTTATATCAGTTTATCAAACAGACTTATGCTAAGCGCTTTTTAGTATTTAGTGCGACACATTGAAATTTTTAGCGCAACTTTTCAAGTTTTTAATAAGTCTGCTTCTCTTTATTTTTATTAATCGTTTTATTTATTATCAAAGAATGAAAACCCTAAGATTATTAATTATTTCTGATAACTTTTAATATTTTATTTCTTTTTTTTTTTTAAACGCTATTCAAATGTGCTTCACAAAATTCAAAAAGAAAACTTACAGCCTCTTGCTAGTAAAATTAAGCAAGAAAAAACAAGATAAGCTTTTCATTTTTTTTTTTACCAAATACGTTAGATAAAATAAGTAAAGCAGATAAAAAAAAAAACTAACCAAAATGGGTTGCATCTTTTTCTTCCTAAAAAAAAAGGTTGAAATAAAACTAACAAAACAATATTACTGTTGTTGTTTTTTTTGACAGCT